TACCTACTTACCTGCCTGCCTGCCTGCCTACCTACCTACCTACCTAACCTACCTACCTACCTACCTACCTACCTACCTACCTACCTACCTACCTACCTACCTACCTACCTACCTACCTACCACCCACCCCCTGCCTACCTACCTACCTACCTACCTACCTACCTACCTACCTACCTACCTACCTACCTACCTACCTACCTACCTACCTACCTACACGCATACATACATACATAGATGTACACGTAGACATATATTACATTACACTATTTACATCACAGCACCGTACATTTCCGTAAATTTCCGTACATTACAGTACCTTGCAGTACATTCTTTTACAACACATTACATTACATTACCTTACTGCACAGTACAGCTCAACACGTGACGTTGCAATATATTATACCACAGCACATTACACTGAATCTCACGACGGTACACGACGTTACAGGACCAGACACCACATCACCTAACATGACATGGCATTCATTCACATATACATATATATATATACATATATATATATATATATGCGAGAAACAAACTGAAGCGATGTGTATATACACACATATGTATATCCACATATTTACATACATAGATATATATACAAATATACATACATACGTACGTACATACATACATCTATCTATCTATCTATCTATCTATCTATATACATATTTGTGGGTATACAGATACATATGTTTAAATAAATAAATAAATAAATAAATAAATATATATATATATATGTGTGTGTGTGCCAGCAGGTATAGGTAGGTACATATGCATACACATATACATATACATATCAACATGCATGCATAGAAATATACATGTAAGTATATGTACATACACACATACATGTATTGCAGCACGATCGCCTCCATAAAAAGATACATGTGCGCCTCCACACTCCAAATTTCAAGCCAGCCGAGAAGCCCTGAACTCTGAACCCGGTATATCACGGCATGAAGGCTTCATCAGCCGTTGTCAACAGACTACCCAGGCCGCCTGACCCACGCTCATCACACAGAGTAGCACGTACTGCAACAGCAGCAGGTACTTTACAGTTTCGTGCATGGAGAATATGGATACACTCACATAGCGATACAATGTTCTTATGATGATATTTGCTCCACCCGAAAACGATCTATTAAATTTTGGAAACCAACAGGGCCGAGGCACACGACGCACACCGCTCACAATTATCATGACATTAAAACGGCGAAGATGAAATTATATTAAAATGATACTGTACCCCGAACCGAGGCGCTGAAGAGCCGGCACGAATTCCGGGGCCTGGATCTCTTTAGGGATTTCGGTTTTGGGTTACAAGTTTAAGCTTTGCGGGCTTAAGGTTCAGGGTGTAGGGTTCAGGGTTTGAGGCTTAGGGTTTCGGGAGTTGGGTTCAGTGCCGATGCTTTGTGCTAAAGGTGGCAGGACTTGGCGCACTGGTAGCTAGGGGTGCTGAGCCTGCTGAGCTCTTCAGGTTTTGGGAATGTTTACCAAACTTACGGGACCTGCGGCCTAGTGGGCCTAGTGCTTGTCTTGGCTGCGTGGGCTGGTGCTGGACATGGTGTGGACCTCGGGGAATGGGCGACTCGAAAAGCATCCCCCTTTCCCCCAACTCGTGGCACTAGGGCGATAGTGCTGCACGATATCTCGCAAGTAACATCCGCCAGGTATGCATTGGCTCCACAGAGCATGCTTTCTGCGCGCGGGTATTGCGCATGCATGTTCACCCAATGCAAGACATAGAAAACTTGAGCCGAATCCTGCACAAACCTCAAAACCAACTATCCCGGAAGTATGCGGGTACCACGATTGAATCTTAACAACAAGAACACTCAAAAGAAAGCAGAGCAGACAACCGTGCGGATGCCTCAAAGAACCCCCTAAAGGATCCGTTACGGGAAGCTCTTTTCGACCCCCAGCTGGCGCCTCTGCTCGCAGGGAGCTCGAGGCAGCGAGTTTACCCTCCTCCGGAGGAAACCTTTCAGAGCTCAGAAGATCGCTTGAACGGCGCTCCTTCAAGGTATAAGGGCTCCTTTAGAGATTTTTGGGTGGGGTCAACAGAGTTCAAAGAAAGTTTTGGGCTTCCTTGAGCTGGATTCTTAGAAGGCTTCCCTTTCTTGGGCTCTCCTTCTTTAAAGGAAATCCTTTACAGGGGTTCCCCGGAGAAGGTGGCGCCTCGGCTCAAGCCTGCGCCTGAGCCTACAGGGGCGCCCAGAGAGAGCCCCACTACGGTGGCCCACTGGGCCTTCGTGCACTTAGTGCAGTGCACTTAGTGCACTTGGTGCTGTGCAATCCACTCAGGGATTCATTTTTCATGTTTCGGGTTCGAGATCTCGCGGCTTTTTGCCATCAGTTCATTATGAGAAGTTTTTGGGTTTTACGAGGGCTTAGGGTTCAGGGTTGAGGCAGCTCAGGGGCTAGATTTAGGGTTCCCTGGGTCTTGGCTGGGACTGAGGCTTCCTTGCCCACATCTGCTGGGTGATGAGCCCTGTTCGTTTGTTCATCCCTTCTTCCTCATAAAACCCAATAAGAACTCCTGAGGCCATAGTATGTTCGATTTAAGTCTTAACACCTATGCCGTGACGAAGACCGTGGAGCCTTGGAGACTGCCTTTTAGGATTTGAGTGTCGAGGGGGTTGATGGATTCCAGCTGCTTTTGCCCCCGTCTCATCTTCAAACCAGACAATTCGAAATCCCAACGCCCTCTTTCTGAGTTTAGTGCTTCTCGATGCCTACAGCACTGAACCCTAAAGTGACGAGTCCAACGCCCCAGACCCTGCGAACTCAGGCCATGAGGCGGCCAGCTGTTGCTTGTATCTCTCCCCTCGGAGTCCAGCTCCTGTCATGCATGATTTGGTCGTTATTTTTTTCAGGGGTCTTCGCTGGCCGATAGCTCAACATGAGATCTTTCGGCACAAGTGATCCTGCTTGGGTCATGAAAGTGCGAAGACACGCGACTGCCAAAGCCCACAGTTCTAACATCCTAAAACCGCCGTAACCACCCCAACCCTCAACTCCAAGCCCTGAACTTGAAACCATCGCTTCAAAGATGCTCCGGTCCTCGCGCAGCGGGCCGCTTCGGACGTATACGTCCTGGGTCGCTGGGTTCCTTTTAGGGTTCCCTTCACCTGTTTAAAAAGAGTCTTATCGGCTAAGCGGCTGGGGTTACATGTCTGTGTGGAAAGCCCTTTGGTGTATCCCTGAACCCTAAGCCCGTAATACCAGAGCCCTAGGGTGACTTGTGCGATTCCGAGCTGGGCGAGGGTGGAGAGCGTAGAGTGAAGGGTTCGTGGTTTGGGTGCCATTGGTCCCGTGATTGTGCCGGTTTGCTCCCAAAGCTCCAGTAGTCTGTTCAGGAGCTCATTCCGCCGGATCAACCCCAGAGACGAGCTCACGTCTTTCATTGAGTCGGACACCTCACCCTTTAAATGAAACCATATAGGAATTTTAGAGAATGGGGCACCCCAACATTCAACCCACGTCGGTTGAGGGCAGCTAAGGACTCCAAGTTTCAGGAGTCTATGGGAGCAACACGGCCATGTTTCCACGGAGCCCCTCATCAACGGATAACGATGAAACCTATGGGAGAGTGGGACCGCGAGGTGCGTAGAAGGTGCAAGCTGCGCGCATATCATAAACATGCATAGCTGCATAGACAAGGCTGCTCCGAAATGGCGACTGCCTCTGCAGAGAAGCACGGACAGGGGACGCGAAAGACAGGGTCTTACTCACCAGCACAAGGTCGAGGGTGCACCGTGCTTCGCTTTGCAAAATCGACGGATCGTAATCTTAGATTTTGCGGCTTCTGTCTCCTGTCTTAGGTACTTGGAACCCTTCCCTTGAGCGCGTCCCTTCTTGCCACAGCGTTCCTCGTCCGACACTGTGGAGGAGCTTTGGGAATCTTGGCCATCGGAGCTGCGCATCTCCGTGGATTCCTGGAGAGCATCATAAACATGTGTGTGTGAACAAAGTGTGTGTGTATATATAAATATACATACAGATTCACATATTCACATACATACCTACCTGCGTACCTACATACATACAAAACCTCAATACATACATACAGACATACATACAGACATACAGACATACAGACACACAGACATACAGGCATACAGACAGACAGACAGACATGCAGACAGACAGACAGACGGACGGAAAGAACATACATTGACTAAGTATGTGAATATGTATTAAGCTCTCTCGCTCTCTTTCTCTCTCTCTCTCTATATATATGTATATACGTATATGCACATGCATACGTGCTCCCCTTCATGACAGACAATCGCGGAGAAAATGCCCACGTGGCTGAAGGTAATGTAGCTGAGAGATAGTACGCAGAGATTTGGCTTACTGGCCGTGTTTTACTGATGCGAGCCAAAACACGATTCAAGATTGCATTGTGCATTATGAATTCGATTTTAAACGTCAACACTTTCATTCTACTCTATCTACCATTCTACTCCATTGAACAAACTGTCATCCATACTGGCATGGTTATGCTATGGGAGAAAATATGGTTTCCGCCATATCGTTGCTATTGCTTCTGTTGGTGCAGTATGCCCACAATTCTCTGTCTTCTTAACCCTGTCACGGAATATGTTCTATGCTTTACACTTGCCATTGTTATGGTCAATTGACAATGCTGTGTTCTAGGCTCATTCAACCAAGAATCTGAAGTTCTTTCACCAGCCCTCTCAGTTCCAGCTTGGCTGAGGACCCCAAGCCCTGAACCCCAAGCCACGGTCCTCCGAAGAGCCAAGCTCCTTCAGCGTCATCTTGCTCGGCTCCGAGGCGACCTCCGGGGCTCAGGGTTCCTTTAAGTGCTGCCTGCAGGCATCCAGAAGGGTTGTACAAGGGTTTGGGGTTTCGGGTTTAGGGGCCCGCGGCTTCTGGTAGGCTTTGCCGTTTTCGCCATGGGGTTTGGCAGTCAAAGCAGTTGTGCGCATCTGGCGGGGCGCAGGGGGCTCTGTGCTTCGCGGTTCCGGGTTGCTGAAGCAATTGGTACATGACAGTTACAAGGAGAAGAATAGTCAGCTGGGACGGACCGGTACCCGCAACCCAAGGCTCAAATCCTCTCGGAAAACCCCTAAAATTTAGTAAGCCTTCACCATCCCACAACCCCAACACCCGAGTTCCCCGGCCCCAGTAGACTCTTGGCAAGGCAGGACGCCCTTTTCCCCACTTTTCAGCTTTCCTCAGAAGCCGGTAAACAGAAAAGGAAAAAAGGGCACTACTCACGAACACCTGCACTCTGAACTCGGAGCCCCAAGTCTTAAACCCTAAGACTTAAACCCTAAATCCAACAAACTTAAACGCCATGCCTTCAGCACCCTTCATCCCTAAACCCTACACCGCTTAAGAGCCCCCCTTTCCTCCTGAGCTGAACCCCAAAGGAAGCCTTACAGAAAGCCTTATAAGGGAGCCCTGAGCCTTTCCCCCTTTTTGTCCTCCTCGGTCGCCTCGGTCGCCTCGGGCGCAAGCTTCAAGACGTCCTCGGCCTGCAAGCGCGGCTGAGAAGCTCAGAGCAAGAGAGCAGAGCTACTTAGAGCTGAGAGTTCAGGGGTTCAGGGGTTCAGGGGTTCAGGGGTTACGGGTCCTAAGCGTCTCGGGATTTCAGGTTGAGAGTGTCAAGCGGGTTTAGGGTTCAGGGTTTAGGACCTCGGGGTCTAAGGTTTAGGGTCTTGAGATTTAAGGTTGAGGGTCTCGAGGGCTTAGGCTTTGGGGTTGAGGTTTGAAGCCTTGGGGATTGTGGGGTTTAGGGTCTGGGGTGTGTCAGTCGAATATCGCTGCTCTGGCGTGGGACCCCGAGCCGCTCCAGCACAGAAGATATTCAAACTCTCGACCCACCCACACTCCACTTTTTTTAAGGCTTAGGGCTTTTACCCGGCAACCCCCCTAACAGTGAGGCTTTCGAACCCTCTCCATTTGCTTCTACCCCAACACCTTCGGGCAGTGATCTCGGCAATGCTCCTGGCTCCTTACGGGCTCGGTACGGCTTAAGGGGTAGGCTCCTGACAAAAAACTGTGCCTGAAAAGCGGGAACCTTGGCCGGGCGGCGTGTTTTTCGCAATGCATTTCTGATGACGAATTCCTCATCGACCCAAAGGAAAGGTCGGGAAAATTGGCGGCCACAACCTGTTGGCATTGGCCTCCCGCCTCGGAAGGTGTCGAGCTGTCGAGGGAACATTCACGGCAGTCAAGTTTTGTTCGACCCCTTCGTCGTGGAAAGCTTTCGTGGCTGTCGTCTCGAGCCATCGCCACTTCGAGATATCAATAGTTGGGCTCGGGACGTCTGTTCTGTTCCTGTGATTTTGCGTTGCTGCAAGAATAAAAAAACAGCTTGTACTTGTATTCCTCTGTTACGTTCTTTTTCGTACCGGTTGAGCTGAGCACAAGGTTCGCCAGCAAAGAAGGATTACTCGGGGCATTTGTTTGCAGTATGTGGCCTGCAGCAATCACGTCAAAAGTGGGGCTGCGCACAGCCCGACACTGGCCATCAGCAACAATGTGGAGGCTTCATCAGGCTCAGACTCTAACAAAGTCGGATCAGGAACCTGCAAAATACTACACCGGTTCGAGTAATCCTTATTTGTGGCGCTCGGCATCCCGCAATGGTCCCCAATTCATCCCAAGTCCTTCTTCGTAAACCATAGTTGGACCTGACTCAAAGGGCCTGTGTCCACGGTTCAAAAGCCGGGCAGGAGAAAAATGTGTGGGGGTTGAGTTGCCGGAGCTCCCGCCAAGTTCGCGAGGCAACAACCGATTCATACACACTCGGTTGCACATGTTCACCCACCCAAGCAGGATTCGCAATTGGAGCACGAGGGCGCACATGCAAAGGGCGGATTCGACAGCTCACGACTTCAAATCAGGCAGCTCGGTGTTAACATGTCATCACTGACTAACAATATTGATACAAATCACAGCAAAAGCAGCGGCGACTGGTGCTTTCGCTGCTGAAACAGCTACTGCTACTTGATTACTCCTCCTAATGCCTAACCCCTAAACCGCTAGACCCTTCAAACTCCCAGATCCCTTAAACCCTTTTGAGCCCCGGAACCCCAAAACCAAAAACCTAAAAGATTGACCCCTAGAGCCCCCCAAAGCCCGAGAAAACCCCTCAACCAAGAAACCCTAAGCAACAACCTGTTGCTTTCTGTTGCTACTTCCCCGGGCTGGCTGACCTCGCTGGCCGCGTCATCGAAGTCCTCGCCTGCAGCAAGAAAGGCACGGTTTTAGGGCTTGCCTTGGGTTTAGGGGTTTAGGGTTATGCACTATCTATGCTCGCAATGATGCAGGCACCAGGACGCTCTGTTGTCCGAACGATGTAGGAACTCGGGAGTCTTCACAGGGTGCAGCACGAAGGGTCCCAGGTTCCGACGTGCGACGCTGCCGGGGCTCGGACTGAGCGCTTCGAAGCGGTTGCGCAGGCTGAGACCTGGCACGAAGAAAGCATCCTTAAACCCGCAAACCCTCAACCCAGAATGCCTGAACCCCTCTACCCTCAAAACTCAATCCCAAAGCCTAGAGCAACGAGAGAACATGGGCAGCACCGCGTCTTGGGAAGCTAGGGGCTACAATGCTCTCACATAGACCACTCATCAAGGAAGCCCTGCTAGAAAACCCTCATTTGTACTTAAATGGCCCGTATTGAACAAACTCGGCAGCAGCAGCACCGGCGCAAGGCAGCCAGGTGCGCGCGCCTATGAAGGAACGCCCGGAATGCGCCTTGGAAGACGAGGCGTGCCATGGCCTCGGGTGCGAGCTTAGGGTAGGCGGGGCTGTCATGGAGACCCAGAGGGAAGCGTGGAAACTCAGAGACGCGCAGAGAAAAGACAGACAGGAGAGAGAAATGGAGAGAAGTGAGCGAGCGGAGGCAAGGAGGGACGGAGGGAGGGAGGCAGGGAGAGAGACGAGCAAGAACAAGCTTAAAGCTTGAGCACTGAGCCCACGACGCAGGGATAGGGGCAAGGCGGGGCTGGAGCAAGCTTAAGTCAACAATGGCCGCTCAAGGTTGAGATCACACGAGATTTGTTGTCATAAATTTCGCTCAGCTGACGGGCCTGAGAAATACTTGCAGTGAATGGGTGAGACTATTCTGCCGGCTCGGTTCAATGCAATGCAGCACATCTGTAAGCATGATGCTATCTAGTTATGTACCTACCTAGTCGAGTAACCTATCTGTTTATCTATCTATCTATCTATCTATCTGTTTGTCTATCTATCTATGTATCTATCTATCTATCTATCTATTTATCTATCTATCGATGTATCTATCTATCTATCTATCTATCTATCTATCTGAGTGTGTACATGTACATATCTAAACGAACATGTGTGTGTGTGTATATGACCGTATATGGATATGTATAGGAATCTGCATGTGTATGAGTCTGTGTATGCATATTTCGTGCGCGTATGCTTGTGCGTATGTGTATGTGTAGGCGCATGCTTATGTGTAAGTGTGTGTGTGTGTGTGTGCGCGTGTATATTTGTATGCGCATGTATGTGTACCCAGAATGCATACATACATACATACATACATACATACATACATACAGACATACATACATACAGTACTAGTACTAGCACTAGTACTCGTAGCAGCAGCAGCAGCAACAGCAAAAGCAGCAGTAGTTGCAGTAGTAGTCGTAGTAGCAACTTGGGTAGTAGTAGAGCAATAGCAGTGGCACTCGCAGCAGCAGCCGCCGGTGCAGCAGCAATAGTGGCAGAAGTACTAAGCCACTGCTGCTTTTATTCCTCCGCCTAACCCTCCTCATCCTTCTCCTACTGCTGCTGCTACTACTACTACTACTACTACTACTATTGCTACGACTAGTACTAGTACTAGTACTAGTACTAGTACTAGTACTAGTACTAGTACCTGTACTAGTACTAGTACTAGTAGCAGTAGTAGCAGTAGTAGTGTTAGTAGTAGTAGTAGTAGTCGTCGTCGTCGTCGTCGTCGTCCTAGCAGTAGTAGTAGTCGTTGTTGTGGTCGTAGTAGTAGTAGTAGTAGTAGTAGTAGTAGTAGTAGTATAGTAGTATGTCTTCTTCACCTAATCTACTGTATCACTCCATTTTATCCGGTAATTCTGTTTCATGAAACTTCTTAAACTCATTCATATTTTCCCTCCCGCCTGGCTAGGACGAACCTACGATGCAGGGAGTCGTCGTGATATGCTGCCTTAGCTGTGAGTAAATCTAAGCCAGAATCGTCTTTAACATATTCGCTCATCTTGCTAAACTTAAAATGGTTTATCCAGTCATTGCGTTAACATTGTCTTCATACTTTGTTCATTCAACCAACTTATCTAATGATGAAGATAAGAAACTAAAACTATTCCTAAATTCAAGTTGTTTAAGACAAAAGGCAACAAACTTCTCTCTGTTGTGTGCCACATCGTCCTTCTCAGTGTGCAACTTGTCAAGATTGAATATAACAAGAGCGTCGCAGTTTTTCTGTTTGTGAAAGATAAAAGGTATTTTACAGGTTTTGAAAAACACTCTAAATTACATTTACGATGTGCCGCTCCTCTCTGTTTACCCGTAACATGCCAATGGCCTGGCTTAAACATTCGCGTCAAATCCTCCATTGCAACTAAAGCAACGCTTCGCTGTTAAATGTATTCCGAGTTCTTCGTGTGTTAATTTCTCTATATCTTCCGGATTATTCATTACATCAAGAATATCTTTTCTTATCCCATGCATAGTTTAACAAGATACCTCCATACAATCATCACCCCTGTATAAATGGGGTGTTGCTTCTCCTGTTATTGAATTAACAACATTAAGCGCAAAACCGGACGCCTTGTGATTTTGATATGCTTTCTTTAACCCTTCATTAGATAAGGTGGTGAAATCTTCGAAATGACCGTAAATAACATAAGGACACTGTAATTTCTTGTAGTGCTTTTGAAAACTAACATTTCCGTGGCATCCTTATTGATTGATTGAACTTCATTTGCCAGTACAACCTTTTAAAACATGTGCTTGTAATAGTTTTTCTTGGTTAGAGCCCCTCTGACAATACTGACAATGAGATAGTTTATCTTTATGCTTATTCGTCTGACTTCCCATCAGTCGGTAATAGTCTTTAACCAAAACATAATGATTCTTGTTCTCTTCGTCGCGAATGCCTCGCGAGGCATCTGCCGATGCGTCCAGTCTTAACAAGTTAATATGACACTTTGGATTTTTATTTTTTTTATTCTATCAACTCGTAATTTTTCTCTCCATCAGCTGTACAAATAGTTGCTGATATAGTGCTATCATCAACTTCTTCAAACCTATCAACGTCTTCATTAAATGCTGGGAATTCTACACCGTTCCCTTTAATGAAATTGCCATTTCTAAGGGTTTATTATGGTGATGTAATCTTTCAGGGTGGTCTTTCTGATGCAGTTCGGAAAACTTGCATAGCACACAATATTTAAAACATAAGCTGTCATACTTTTAATATTAATACACGCAATTCTTAATGAAATCCAGCTTGGTACGGTAGTTCAATGTATTGTCCCGCTCTTGAAGGGGCGTATTTGTCATAATGTGTTGTTATCCAGCTTGGTAGTTCAATGTATTGTCCCGCTCTCGTCGGGTCGTATTTGGCATAATGTGTTGTTATGTTATTAACTTTATTTAATCTCAACTCTGATTTTGTAAGTTGCGTATTTTCAAGAGTTACCATAATATCATGTCCAGCATTATTAACTGCTTTATTCATTTCCTCTTCATTAATATATTGTATCTTCTGCTTCTGATGTGTTAAATATCTTCTGCTTCTCCAATCCCACCAGGGGTATCAACAAATTCTAGAACAAATTCAACATCAGTTTATAACCTGCATACTCTTATTCTTGTTTAACAACTCTCACAATCTGGATTTCTGATAATAGGTGTCCTAAACCCGCATATCCCGGTTTTTCAGTACCAATGATATATTAGGTATGTGTATACAGTTTTAGAGCATGAAAGTAGCAGTTCTTTTTCCAAATGTTGATAAAGCGTATCGTTGCAATCCTTTCTTAGTCTAACTCCTTTTGATGCTTTATGTAATATTTCGAACCGTTTAAATGCTGGGCGTTTTAAAATGTCGTTTAATTGTTTCTTCAACCGTCCTGTAAAAGGCTTATCTTGATAATATATGTAAACCGTCAATTGATATTTGTTTTAATCCCTTTCCTTTTTATTGGTGTCAATATTAGGTAATCCACTACTTAATACATGTTTCCTCGCGGTTTTCAGGGCACTGGTGATCGGTGAGGCGTCTGCCCGATAAATAAAAGTACTATAACCCTAAACAAACCTCCAAAGAAAGGGCATTAACTGTTTTTAAGAAAATGGGAAAATTACAGAAAAAACATGTAATGCCCCTTTTTAAATACATAGTCCTAACCTAACATAAACCACAGCAACCCTTAACTAAATCCTTACACTGAAAACTAAACCCTAAACTAAAAAACTAACTTTCAGCACTCCGTGTTTTCGGCCTTTTGCGTCTCAATGACTAGTTTAGGATTTTCCCATCCGCCCAGCTGACCAAGTCGCACCGCAGGGGGCTCGTTAGGACTATTCCGACAGTTTGGGGAGAGTCAAGGCGACCTACACGCTCCATTCGAAACAGAGCCCAACACCAATCATTAACCAGTACGCCCTTCGAGCATGTAGACCCGTCGACTGAGTCGATACTTCTTGTGACGTCTACATGCAAGCAGGCTATGCCCCATGAGACTCATGAGACCCACCATAGCACATGGAATTTGCAAATCCATTCACGGGTTAGCTGCGATGTCCCGACATGCTGGCTGCAAGATCTGACGGGCACTTTTCTCCATTTGCTGGCTTAGGACATCTTAGGACTGTAAATGGCCCAGACGTCATGCCAGTCAGCGAAGGTCCACGTTTGTTCGATGCAACCCTGGGGCAAACTCCGAGGTGATGCAAGTACCCACAGGCTGCCAAACGATTCCTCGTGTTTGTGGTCTGGTGCGACACTGCTGAACAGCGGAACGTTTCGGCATAACTGAGAGACATCGGACTTTACGGCGGACTTCAGCCATCTCAGAGAAGGGGAAGCGCGGCTGCCTCAGGTAGCGTAGGTTTCTCAAGAAGGCTGTGCACGGGCGGCGGTGGAATCCAATGCATGCGAGGCTGTAACCCCCACGATCTATCAATTACATAAAAACGAATCAAAGGATCGCTTCTACCCGCTCCGTTCCGCCACTATTTACACCCCGTCCCGCCTTTCACCCATGCAGTACCCTCCCCTGCCTCCCGCCTCCCTCTCCCTGCCTCTCCTATCAAGCACTTGTTTCGCCACCTTCTTGCCTGTATCACTCTATGCACCCCGTGAACGTGGTCAGACACTGACACTGCCTGCTGTAGGGCTCCAGGTGACATGTTACAGATGACGGCTTTCAGTTGATGGGAGTTCTTTTCGCCTTTTCTTGAGCAACAGACATCTTTTTCACTCATGCAAAGAAGCTTCACGGAGCCAGGTCGGCAGGGTAGACAAGGTGAAGGAAGGCCTATATCAGCACCCTGAAACCCCCTACATGACATATACCGGAGAAGCGTTTCACTTTTGTCACCTTGCCATACCTTGCCCTCCCTCACTTCCCCTTTGCTCTCCTTCCCTTCTCCGCGGCTTGCCTGCGAGCGTGGCGAGACCCCGCAGGTTTCCCAGGCGACGTCGAGACTGAATCTCTGGTCTCTTTTGTCTCGCTCGAACTCGGGCGAGCATCACGATAGCAC